ATATATGGAAAATAAGTTTAATCTCATCACTAGACTGTAATTCAGTAAATCTCACAAAATGTTCCTAACAGAGGTCTAGGAAATAATACGTATACTTGGCTGCAATTAAGAGCCGAATTAGCAGTAGATTAAGCCAGAAGTTTAGTTCTCTTACAAGATGAAATCCAGAGGCAGTCCAGGTCTGGGAAAGTTTCATTCCACACTCTTAGGGACCCAAGCTCTGTCTCTCCATAGGATTTGGTCCTCATCTTCACACAAGAGCTAGAGCTACTGTTATTATAACATCTCTTAAAAGAAAGTATGTTTTAATGCCAAAAAATAGGGGTGGCTGGGTGGCTCAGTCGGTTAAGCATCTGCCTTCAGCTCAGGTCATGATCTTGGGGTTCTGGGATTCAGCCCCACACTGGGCTTAGTGGGGAATCTTCTCCCTCTCCCTCTGTATTCTTTCTTCCCTCTCTCTTTCTTACTTTCATTTTTTTTTTAACTTCTATAGGACAAAGAAGAATTTATATTCTCGTTTTGGATGTTCCCTGAATGAGCCTTAAGGGCAGAGTTATTTTAAAGGTTTTCGTTACACACCCAATCTGGGCTTTTCAGTTGTAGTATGCATACACTAGGTAGTTGAAGCAAAGGTAAAGAGGCCTATTTATTAGATGTAGTGAACAGAAAAGGAAGTGGCATCACTTATTGGTTCCTCACTTATTCTCAACCCTGGTTCCAAGGATACATTCATGCTTCAAGCATTCTCCTTTGGGATGGGTGTAACATTAAAGATCAAGGCTCTGGGATCAATCTTCTGCCCAGTTTTTCTCCTTGTGTAACTCAAGTGGTTAGATCTTATTCTTCAAACAGGAAAAGTATGAGAGGATAACTGAAGCCTAGAAGACTCAGTGCCCTTAGAACATATTGGTCTCCTACTCCCATCCTCCACCTTTTCCTCCAAAGTAGGCGTCTCCCTTTCAATGGTCCATTTTCCTCTATTTTAGTTACACCAGAGACAAGGGCTTTACATGGACTTATCTGCTCCCAAGATTCTTGTGGAAAAATGAGTGTTGCTGCTTTCCTAGCAATGGCAAAGTTAGGAATGAGGCAGTGCAGTGCTCAGGACCTGCTGATTGGTACAAGATTACTTATGCTATCTTGCCGTAGTAATGAGATTCATAAACTTGTTGATACTTGCTCTTACCTCATCAAAGTTTTAAGAAATTCCTTTCTTACTGCTTAATGATAAGCATTAACATTAAAAATCAGCCTCAAAGTCTACCTAATAGTTCAAGAACAAAGGTTGAACTTCTCCCATGTACCAGGGTCTCTTTGAAGATGGAGGAAAGGGGAGAAAAGCAGAAAATGTTTAAGACATGGACACTACCTCCAGAAAAGATAACCTTCCATGGAAATACTTATATAAATATTATATAAATAAGAATTAGTTATAACGGTGACTTAAATGTATAAAAGATGTAAATATAAGGTAGAAAGGTGGCATAGAAAAGGAAGCAACTAGCTTTATGGGAAGTAAGTTGGATGTCAAGAAAAATATTGTAGAATAGTGATATTTGAGCCAGATCTGGACAGATACTGGTTGGGAAGGTAGAGATGGTCCCTCTGGCACAGGGAGCAGCACAAAAGCATCAGAAATGATAGCTAAGAAATAACATGAGGAAGGAAGAAAATATATTTCTTCATATGCTAAGAAGTTCAGTTTTGCTTCCCTCATTTAGTTAAAGCTGCCTCCAGGTCTTATCTAAGACATGATTATCTTTTTATATTGGAAACCATGAAAACAAAACCTGGCTGTGGCAAATACCTAGAGATTATCCAGGTAGACAGTTAAGTTATATAAGATTTTTTAATTCTACATAGAATGCAGGAAAACGTAATAGATTTTTAGGAATAGATGACCAGTATCTGCTTTGTCCTGTGAATTTCGAATGGCCATTTTGGAACTATTGTCATCAATGCATAATATATCAAAATGCTCCCTAGCATTGTTGGGGAAAAGAACAAATGAAAGTTTAAATTGATATAAAATACACATAGTTGGATAATTGAACAATCCTGCTAACCACATACTCTCTGGAAATTTGATAATATTGAAATCTTTTCATAAAAAAAATTTTTATGTATTCTAATTTTGAAAAACTACATATATGAAGCAAACATAAGGAGAAATAATTTTGATACTACTGTAGCTCCTAAAAGGACAAAAAAAAATAACATTTTAAGACAAGGCAATCAATATTCAATTATTCCTTTTATTTAAAAATTCATTAATTGGAATCAGGTTTCAAAAGGCAAGTGAAATCCAAATTTTACTAATGAGAAACTGCCAATAAAAGCACCAGGAACTGGGATCCCTGGGTGGCGCAGCGGTTTGGCGCCTGCCTTTGGCCCAGGGTGCGATCCTGGAGACCCGGGATCGAATCCCACGTCGGGCTCCCGGTGCATGGAGCCTGCTTCTCCCTCTGCCTGTGTCTCTGCCTCTCTCTCTCTCTCTCTGTATGACTATCGTAAATAAATTAAAAAAAAACACACACCAGGAACTTTTATTTATTATAATACTGACATTTTTAGACTATCCTAGACTTCTAGTATCAAACATACTAATAAGGGATAAGAGTGGGGTAGGGGTGGGAGCTGTAAAAAAAAAAAATAATAATGTTACTATTTTGTTATATAAGCTAATTATCTTTTTTTTAAGATTTTCATTTTAATGCCAATATAGTTAACAGTGTTGTATTAATTTCAGTTGTACAATCTGATTCAACAACACTGATTGTACTGATTCTGTACATCACCCAGTGCTCATCATAGCAAGTGTACTCCTTAATCCCCATCAGCTATTTCACCCATACTCCCCATCCACCTCCCCTCTGGTAACCATCAGTTCTGTATAGTTAAGAGGCTGTTCCTTTGTTTGTCTTTTTTCCTTTGCTTGTTTCTTAAATTCCACATGAATGAAATCATATAGTATTTGTCTTTCTCTGAGTTATTTAACTTAAGCATTATACTCCAGCTTCATCCATGTCATTGCAAATGGCAAGATTTAATTCTTTTTATGGCTAAATAATATTCCATTGTGTATACATACTACGTCCATTCACCTACTGATGGACATTTGGGCTCTTTCCATAGTTTAGCTATTGTAAATAATGCTGCAATCAACATAGGGGTTGCATGTATCCCTTTGAATTAGGGTTTTTGTATTTTGGGGTTAAATACCAGTATTGTGATTACTGAATTGTCGGGTAGGTCCATTTTTAACTTTTTGAGGAACCACCATACAAGTTTCCACAGTGACTGCACCAGCTTGTATTCGTACCAACAGTGCAAGAGGGTTCCTTTTTCTCTACATCCTTGCCAAAACTTGATATTTCTTGTGGTTTTGATTTTAAGCTAGATACATCTTTTAACATAACTTAGTAGAATTTGGGGGTTGCTTAATAGGGCTAGATAGGCTATCTTTGTTAAAGTATCTACTGATATCCACAGATTTGAAGAAGTAAATTATTTACTGGTAGTGTCTATTAAAATGGCAAACACACACACACACACACACACACACACACACACACACACACAAAACCACCAAATCCACCTGTATCCTACCATAGCAATCCTTTGATATTAAAATGACTAAGTGAGGGATCCCTGGGTGGCGCAGCAGTTTGGCGCCTGCCTTTGGCCCAGGGCGCGATCCTGGAGACCCCGGATCGAATCCCACGTCGGGCTCCCGGTGCATGGAGCCTGCTTCTCCCTCTGCCTGTGTCTCTGCCTCTCTCTCTCTCTCTGTGACTATCATAAATAAATTAAAAAAAATTTTTTTTAAATAAAAAAATAAAATGACTAAGTGATCTTTATTTTACTTTTTTTTTCAAGATTTTCTTTTTTCTTTTTTTTTTTTTTAAGATTTTATTTATTTATTCATGAGAGACACAGAGAGAGAGAGAGAGAGGCAGAGACACAGGCAGAGGGAGAAACAAGCTCCACGCAGGAAGCCCGATGTGGGACCTGATCCTGGGATTCCAGGATCATGCCCTGGGCCAAAGGCAGGTGCTAAACCATTGAGCTACCCAGGGATCCCCCAATGATCTTTATTTTAAAAGAGGAATATGTGTGTTAGAGGGGTCGAGTCATTTGACCAGATTTCATGTAGCCAATAAATAAGTCAGGATTTGAATTTGGATGTATCTGAGTCTAGAGCTCAAGCTCTAAATACTACATATATATTCTGCTAATGATTAGGTCATCCATAAGAATGATATTTTTATAAATGTGAATAAGTTTATGTCTTCACCTACATAAAAGAAAGGCTATATATAAATTTCTGTGGCATTTATTGGTACCAAATGACCATAATGTTATGTTCAGCTTTGCATGTTCTTGCCTTTAAAATAAATTTCAATTTTAGTATACCACTAAATGTATTAGCATAATAATATATGTGTTCTTTAAAGACTATTTCTTTTCATATGGGAATTGCATATAAGCAGAAGGCAACTTTAGAAATTATCCTGTTATTCATATCATTTGAATTATTACATTATTCATGTTATTAAAGGAAACGACAATCCAGACAGCTTAAATACCTTGTATGAAGGTGTACAGCCAATTAATGATGGAGATAGGACACATGCCTCAGAGTAATTAAAGATACAGAGAAATGATCCTGTTAGGTACAATCTGAGTTGAGAAACATGTCAAACAATTATATGGATATGGAAAGTTAGTAAAAATAGACAACATGCCAGGGAATTAGTAGTAATACCAAATTAAGCCCAGTGGTTGTTTCAGGGGGAAACAACCAAAAAGGGAAATACTTTTTTTATAGGTCTATAGCATTTCACATTAAAAAAAAATCATCCTAATGATGCTGTCTCTAATTCTAGCCTTAAATCAACAAAAATGCAATATGGGAGAAAGCATGTTTAGCTTGCCATTTGTAAGTGAGTAATAGTGTAAGCATCTGGGAAGATAGCTTTCCATACCCTCACTAACAGCCACTGACCTGTTACTTCTGATTTCCTTGATAAGGTCAAACAGATGAAAAGGAAACTGGAACACCTTGAAGAAATGGAGCTATTTCCACGATATCAGGTTCAGTAGATCCCTGATCCTTAATAAGAGTAAAATAGTACAAAAGCATAGAATTCTTAGTATACCAATTGAAGTTTAAATACCAATTGAAGTTTTATTTAGGAGACTCACCAGAGGTCTGCTTGATAGTGCAAAAGATCATTGCTGTTTATTGTTCTGGGATCCCAGATTTGTGGAGCCTCTCAAAGCTCCCAAGTGACATCCCAAGTCATCTAATGGTCTTCTAGTTCACTTGTAGAAGCCTACAGTGGAGGAAAGCACTTTCTATTAAGATAAATCTGTTGATATAAAATTAAATAGCACTTCTAAAAATATTCGCACTTCTAGATGAAACATCTTCCCATATAAAAGTATTGGAATAGTGTTAAATTCTTTTGTTTTCTAAAAAAGCCCATTTAGAGATACTAAATTTTAACTACTTTGGGAGCCTCATTTTCTGTTAAGGGGCTAAAGGCATTTAAATATATATTTTTAATCAATCCAACAGCTAATGGAAGATTACTAATTCATTCTATAAACATTTATCAAATACCTGATTAAGAAAGCCTGATTCTTGCCCAGGAGCGTCAGTAGCTCCACCGTGTTTGCTGAAACCATTCTTAAACCGCCTCCACTTGCCCACTTTCTGGAGTGACCTGTGAAGGAAATGTGATGTGTAAATGCTACATTTTATGGTGACTTGGAGACATTGTGTATCTTTTATTTTCTCCAGTTAAGTAAACAAAACCAACAGGCCTTGCCCACAGTCAGTACTCTGACTTTTTTTTTTTTTTTTTATGACAGTCACACAGATAGAGAGAGGCAGAGACACAGGCAGAGGGAGAAGCAGGCTCCATGCACCGGGAGCCCGACGTGGGATTCGATCCTGGGTCTCCAGGATCGCACCCTGGGCCAAAGGCAGGCGCTAAACCGCTGCGCCACCCAGGGATCCCAGTACTCTGACTTTCTGGTGTATTTCTTGGAGTGCCTTTCTTTATCTGCCTCAGATTGAGCTGAAGAAACATACTAGTTTAATATTCTCTTGAATTAAACTTTATCCTATTGGAACAAGCATTTTCCAAAATATCCCAAAAAACTTAACATATCATGCATGGTAACATTCTGAAAGTCATTTTCTTGCCACATTAGAGTCATTTATTCTTTAGGAAGAAAGGTGTTCAGTTCTTTTTAGGTATTTTATACAGTATCCTTCAGTTGTCAATTAGCTGTCTTTCCTTCTGTTCACTTATTGAATAAACATTCAGAATGCAGTATGTATTACTCTTGAAGACTCAGCTACTGAAATGCATAAATATTTTACTTTGGAGGAGCTCAGCATCCAATGGGGAAGACAGGCAGAAAGAAAATTACAATTGTTGAGAGTAGAAATATGTCCTTAGGAGGGATGCTAAACTTAGTATGAGTGAGTCAGGAAAGATCTGAGGAAGTACAGCAGTCCTCTTCATTTGCCAAATGCTAATTCTTTCCCTTCCAAGGATTTAGACTTGGAGAACCTGAGAAAAGCTGTGGACTCCGAGATGTGATCCCTAGGGTTAACGAGGTGAAAATTAACCAGAAATCTAAAGCTTGTTTTTCAGAGGCCTGTTTCTCCCTAACCAGCTATTGTGTGTTTCCAGACCCCACTAACAAATCCACTAGGGAGAGCTAGGCTAGAAGTCACTGATAGGGTTCCAGCCTATGAACAGAAAGCCCGGTCTTTCTCACCCTAGATAATGAGCCCAAGACCCCCTCCAGTTTATCTGGGCTCTCCTGGAGCATGCCCATAGCCCCTTTCCTTGTCCTAAGATCCCTGACAGCAGGTGCTGGACTTTGCCTCATTTTAAGTCTCCACCACAAGTGAATATGGGATGTATGTTACATGTTTGCTCAGTAAGCATGCTCCATCTTTCCTCATGAAAAACCATAAATTTCCCTCTTCCTTTTCATCAATATATGTGTAACCCCGACCCTTTTATTTAAAAAAAAAAAAATCCCTCCCCCTTCTAGATTTAAAGCATGCCCTTTTATCTCTTTCTTTGGCTGCCTCTGGAATAAACCCTTTCCTCTCATACATGATGTCTCAGTGATACCCTATTCTTTATCCTATTCTAAAACTACTTCTTTTGGTTTGCCTGGGTGGCTCAGTGGTTAAGCATCTGCCTTCAGCTCAGAGCGTGTTCCTGGAAACCCAGGATCAAGTCCCACGTTGGGCTCCCTGCATGGAGCCTGCTTCTCCCTCTGCTTGTGTCTCTGCCTCTATGTGTCTCCCCCCCCCAAAAAAAAATCTTTAAAAAAAAAACAACAAACTACTTGTTTCAGGTTTTTAAGGTAAGTACTTTGTAGCAATATTCTAGAAACTCACTCCATCTTCCACATTTTACAAACTTATTAGAGTTACCACCTGGAGTGCAAGCTTAATAGCCTATGTCACAGTTATAATTCGTATTTTGCAAAGCTTCAGTAAAGTGATAGGATATTCGGAGTCATCTTTAAAAAGAAAGTTCTTTGAATTTAAATTCTCTTCCACCAGTAACAATTTACTTTTGCCTTGTTTCCCATTAAAAAAAAAAATTAAGTTCTTAGTTTCCATTTTTGCCTTCTACTCTCGAAGACCTCATTTACGACAAGTTATGGTTATGCATATGTGCATCTGAGGTCAGTTATTAACAGTTATTAACTTAATCCTCTTTAAGAGGAGAGTTCAATGCAGCACGTGAACGGTCACCGCGTGCGGCACTGGCGCGGACTCCGGAATGCCTGAGGCTCGGGAGCTCAGCGCCAGGTCGGGGCGGCCCCGGAGGGGCCTGCAGGTGCGGGGCGGGGAGGGGCGGCCTGGAGGAGCTGGGGGACCCCCCCCGCCCCCCTGGGCTGGGGCACCGGGCTTGGAAAAGGAAACCTGGAACGCCTCAGAGGTCTCACGCTCAGTTCCTTCACTCCGATGCTCTGAGCGCTGCGGTGTTTGTTAATAACCCGGAATCTGGCGAAGGAGGACCGGAATGGGTCCCGGAGTCGATCCCCAAACCGACCGAGGGCCCGAGAGGGCGAGAACGCGGACGCCGGGCCGAGACGCCGCGCGCGCCAGGCCGCCGGGTTTAAATCTCCCGCCGCCCGCAGCCGGAGCCCGACACCTCCACGCACGGGTGCGGAGGGGCACGGGCTGCGGGAGGGGCCCGGCGGCGTCTCGGGGCTCGCGGGCGGCGGCGGCGGCGGCGGGGACGGGGACGGGCGCCGGGACCGGCCTCCGCGCAGCCGAGCGCGGCCCGAGGTGGCGGAGGACCGGCGCGTCGCGGCTGCAGCGTCGCGGTGAGAGTGCGGCCTCGGCCCCCCTCCCCCCCTCCCCCGCTCCCTCCTTCCTCCCTCCGGGCGGCGGGCCGCGCCCTCCCCCGGCCTCCCGGCTGCCGGAGGCCAAAACGCTGGGTTCCCGTGGCGACGCCCCGAGGTGGAGGCGGGGCGGGAGGCGCCCGCCACGCGCACACGCGGTCTCTCGGGGCCTCGCCGGCGCCCGCGGCCTCCCTCCGGACGGCGCCCCGGCCCGAGCTCCCCGGGAGCAGGACGGCCCAGGAGCCGTGTCCGGCGGCCCTTGGGCCCCTTCAGGGCGGGAGGGCTCGCCCGGCCCCGGCCCCCGCCCCGGGCCCGCTTGCTGGGGGTGGCTTCTCGCCGAGGTGGAGGTCGCCTCCCCCTGAGGTGGACGGTCACGGCCTTCAGGTGCCTTGCGGCTCGCCTCTTCCCCCCCCCCCCTTTCTGTTGTGTTTGTTTTTATGTCATTATTTTGTAATGGAAATGCCTTCTCTAGAAACGAAGTGGCAAGCGTTTGGGTAAAAAAAAAACCTGAGGGCCAGCCCCGGTGGCTCAGCTGCCCAGGGCGTGACCCCGGAGACCCGGAGTCGAGTCCCGCGTCAGGCTCCCTGCAGGGGGCCTGCTTCAACCTCTGCCTGTGCCTCTGCCTCTCTCTCTCTCTCTCTCTCTCTCTCTCTCTCTCTCTCTCTCTGTTTCTCATGAATAAGTAAAATCTTTTTAAAAAGAAAAACAAAACAAAACAAAAAAACCCTTAATCAGTGTGCGGTTTGAGGCGAACTGCAGAAAGGCCGAGCGCCCGAGGCGTTCGGCGCGCACATCCCGCGGCCGTGCACCCACCCGGTGGTGGGAACGCGCATCACCTGGTCCGGCGCTCAGATGATGTCAGTGGTCAGATACCTGATGCTCTGGAGAAAGATGGAGAGGGGGAAAAATCCGACCTGGCAACCACCCCGTGACGCTGTGGGTTTGCCAGGAGAGGGGGTGGGATTATTTTTCATGTAATAGATGATAATGCACAGAGCAAAAACCCCATTATAAACTAAGAATCTCTATGAAATAGCTTATTGGGAAAATCACGTTTATATCTACGGTTTTGGATTTTCTCTTAAGCATTTATTTCTCTAAGCATTTATGCATTGATTGCTTTGGTTTAGACGTAGGCAGCGTACTGTAAGGCGATATTACTTTCATCATCTTAACATCAATATTTATGGAGTAGCCACAGGTGCATCATCCTTTAGTAGGACGTTAATTACACATGTATTGGCCAAAGAAACATCTACTGGTACGTATATACTTTTTATGTGATGAAAAAATTTTGATCGTTTTATATTTATCTGTGTCCAACATTGCCAGTATTCTGCAAAATTTCTGTATTTAATAGCGCAGAAGGATTGTGCATCCAGCCATTGAAACAACTCTGTGCAAGACGTTGCTCTAATTATCGATAATTATAATTGCCAGGCAAATCATTATAATTTTAGAGTTAAATGGGTGCTCAAAGCTCAGCCAGTCCAAAGTGAGAAAGCTGCAAACATGAGATTGGTGCCAACGTGACAGTGGTGGAAAAACTAGGAAACCGCATTTTTATTAGAAATATTTATTATAAAACAATTAATAAGATTTGTACCAGAGACTGAACTGGTACCAAATACCAAAATGTATCAGATATAAAAGAGACGATATAAATTATTGTTTACACCGTCCAACTTTGTGATTTCATAGTGTGATATGTTCTATATTTAAATTTTTTCACTTTGTTGATTTTCTCTGTTTTCCTGTTCTCTGTTCACAAATTTCTCCTCCTTCATTTTGATTCTTTTACTTTGGGTTTAATTTGTTCCTCCTTTTTTGACTTATTAAGGTGGAAGCATAAATAATTGCTTTTACACCTTCTTTTCCTTTTAGGCATTTAAAGCTGTAAGTTTTCTCTAAGCATGCTTTAGCTAGACACCACAAATTTGGAATGTTTTCATCATCATTTAGTTAAAAATATTTTAAAATTTCCCCGTGATTTCTTTAATCTATTATTAGGTATGTTATTTTTATTTCCAAATATTTTAGGATTTTTTAGGTAGATCATTGCTATTGATTCCTAAATTAGCAATGTTGTGGTCAAAAAACATGTATGATTTCAGTACCTTTAAATTTATTGAGGTGGGTTTTTTTGTTTTGTTTTGTTTTGCCTAATCACAAAGTTGGACAGTGTAAACAATACAATTTATATCATCTCTTTTATATCTGATACATTTTGGTATTTGGTACCAGTTCAGTCTCTCGTACAAATTTTATTAATTGTTTTATAATATATAGTCTGTCTTGGGGAATGCTCCAGTTACCCTTGAGGGAAAATTGTATTCTACTGGTGGTGGGTGGAGTGGTCTAAATGTCAGTTAGGTAAAGCTGGTTGAGAGTGTTGCTCAAACCTTTTATCTTCACATTTTTAATGTCTCCTTGTTCTGTCAGTTACTTTGGGAGACGTGTTAAGTCTCAAGTCTCTAAGTATAATTGTAGATTTATCTATTTCTCCCTTCAGTTCTGTCAGGTTTTTTTTCTTTATGATTTGGTAGTGTTATTAGTCACATACACTTTTAAGATAGCTGTGTCTTTTTGCCAAATTGACTCTTTTATCATTATGAAATGCCCATTCTATACCTGAAAATACTTTTTAAATAGAATCCTGTTCTGACATTAATAGAAGCTTAATGTTTGCCTCTTGCTATCTTTTCCTTTTAACTCATCTGTGTGTTTATGTTTAAAGTGTGTTTCTTATAAACTACGTACAGTTGGGTTGTAGGTGTTTATCCAGTCTCACAACAATCTCTGTGTTCTAATAGTGGTATATGGTCCATTGATATTTTTGAAACTTTTTTCTGTTTTAGATTAAGCATATTGATATTCTTTTTAAATTTAAATTCAATTAATTAACATGTAATGTATTACTGGTTTCAGAGGTAGAGGTCAGTGATTTATCATTCTTACTTAATACCGCCAGTGGTGGTGTTCTTTTTTCCATTTTTCTCATTTACTCTTTGGTTGTCTTCCCTTGCCTTCTTTAGAATAATTAGAAAAATATTTCTTTTCCTATTTTTTAGTTTTGTCTCTTCATGTTTTTTATCAGTGGTACTAGAGATTGATTACATATGTTTCTTGAATTTATCACAGCGTATTTTCAAAGATACTCTAGTACTTAATCAACAGTGTAAGAATATTATTACATTTATATTTGCAATTACCATCTTCTTACCTTTTGTGCTCTTACACATTTTACTTCTATATGTGACCTATATTTTTATTACTTTTAATTTAAAGAAATCAATTTTTTAGTGAAATTTAAAGATGCATGTGTATACGTAATGTTCAAAAATTCCTTTGTATTTATCAACATATTTACCTTTTTTGTTCTTTCAAGATTTTATTTAAATTCAAGTTAGTTTACATACAGTGTAATATTAGTTTCAGGGGTAGAATTTAGTGATTCATCAGTTACATACAACATCCAGTGCTCACTACATCAAGTACCCTCCATAATGCCCATCACCCAATTATCCCATTTCCCTACCCACCTACCCTCGAGCACCCTCAGTTTGTTCCCTATAGTTAAGAGTCTCTTATGATTTGCCTCCCTTCTTTTTTTTTTTTAAGATTTTATTTATTTATTCATGAGAGACAGAAAGAGAGGCAGAGACACAAGCAGAGGGAGAAGCAGGCTCTCTGTGGGGGACCCCAGGATCACCACCTGAGCCAAAGGGAGATGCACTTGACCACTGAGCCACTCACGCGTCCCTGCGTTCCTGTCTTTATTTTTCCTTCCCTTCCCCTATGTTCATCTATTTTGTTTCTTAAATTGTACAAAAGAGTGAAATCTTATGGTATTTGTCTTTCTCTGACTGATTTATTTCACTTAGCATAATATCCTTTAGTTACATTCATGATATCATTGTAAATGGCCAGATTCCCTTCTTTTTGATGGCTGAGCAGTATTCTGTTTTGTGTGTGTGTGTGTGTGTGTGTGTGTGTGTGTGTGTGTGTGTGTATATATATATATATATCACATCTTTTCACCACAACCAAGTGGGATTTATTCCTGGTCTGCAGAGGTGGTTTGATATCTGCAAATCAATACATGTGATATACCACATTAATAAAAGAAAGGATAAGAACCACATGATCCTGGGGCATCTGGGTGACTCAGTGGTTAAGCATCTGCCTTTGGTTCAGGGCATGATCCAGTGTTGGGGATGGAGTCCCTCATTGGGGTCCCCACAGGGAGCCTGCTTTTCCCTCTGCCTATGTTTCTACCTCTCTGCGTCTCTCATGAATAAATAAATAAAATCTTAAAAAAACAAAGAACCATATGATCCTCTCAATAGATGCAGAAAAGCATTTGACAAAATATACCATTGTTTCTTGATTTAAAAAAATCCTCAAGAAAATACTTTCTCTTCTCTCTGCTTGTGCTCTCAAATAAGTCTTTGAAAAAAATAAAATAAAAGGAGACACCTGTGTGGCTTAGTTAAGCATCTGCCTTCAGCTCAAGTCTTGACCCCAGGGCCCTGGGATCGAGCCCCACATCCTGCTGATTGGTGGGGAACCTGCTTCTCCCTCTCCTCCCCACTCATGCTCTCTCTCATTGTCTCTGTCACCATATCTGTCTCTCAAGTAAATAAAATATTTTTTTAAAAATCCTCAAGAGGGATCCCTGGGTGGCGCAGCGGTTTGGCGCCTGCCTTTGGCCCAGGGCGCGATCCTGGAGACCCCGGATCGAATCCCACGTCGGGCTCCCGGTGTATGGAGCCTGCTTCTCCCTCTGCCTGTGTCTCTGCCTCTCTCTCTCTCACTGTGTGCCTATCATAAATAAATAAAACAAAAAAAAAATTAAAAAAAAAT